TCTATTTCAAGACTACTTCATTTAGCTATCTTGAAATTCAGCAACTCTGTCAAAATAAATAACTTGGAATAGAATAGTCACCAGATTCTTCAGGATTGGTAGATGAGCAATCATCAAGCTTCCCTGGAAGAGAAGATGATCTCAAGACACTCTTTTGCCTGACCAATTCCCTAGCTCTCTTTGCTGATAGCTCTCAAAATCCTCAATCAATAATCCATGGAGGCGAGTTACAAGTGGTGAGCTATATGAAGGCAGAAGACTGAGAAATTAAAAGGGGAAGGTAACTGGAAGTACTGACCGATCCAATAGCAAGAGCAACATCTTCATTGGTGTGATGGTCATCAATATGAATGTCACCAGTTGCCCTCACATGTACATCAAACAGCCCATGCGACGCAAGTTGCTACAATCAATCGATCGAAAAGCGGGAAATATCATATATCAAATCCAGGGCAAAAGAAAATCGAGTAGTCGACCAAATTGAAAAGGGAAGTTGCAGAGCTGCAAAGTGATTTCCAGAAGTTCACTAACATCTAACATGTGATCGAGAAATGGGATTCCCGTGGACGAGTCAGCAACCCCAGTACCATCCAAGTTAATTTTCACAGAAACATTGGTCTCTTTGGTGAGCCTCTTCACTTCCTCCAACCCGGCTCCCAACTGCAACAGAAACCCAGTTCTCAGAATCCATCAGAGAAAAACAAGCGAAAGCAGAGACCAAGAACCAAACTTTACCTGGCTGTAACGGCGAAGCGGTGGAGATGGAGGAGGAGCCGTTGTCACTGATAGGAGCGGCGGCGGCAACAGAAACCCAGTTCTCAGAAACCCTCTACACCCTCCTTCCGCCATCAGCAAACTCGGAGACGGCCTCCTCGTCGAGATTCTGATTCCCCTCCCCAATCCCAGATCCGCCTTCCTCTACAAACCCATCTGCAAGCTGTGGAGCTCCCTCATCTCCGATCCCAGCTTCAATCACCGTTTCGTTGCTCGCTACCAGAGCATGAACCTGAACCAATCACCGTTTCAGTGAATCAAAGCCGAATCGGGGCGAGGGAAGTGCAAAGATTCGGAAGCCTACCTTCTTCGAGTGATTCATTATGCGATATGCATGCGCAATATATCCCAGAAATCGTATATCTGAAGCTCCGCGTGCTCATCGACAAGGCCACACCTTCGGCCGCCGGCAAAGTGGGCCAGCTTCGAAGAGCCCAAATCGACCAGATTTCCCAGAAACATCAAACGATTAATGGAAAGAGAGAATGAAACTATGCTATTCTGTTTCAGTGGGATGGGAAGGGTTGCAAAGAAATGAAATTTTGTTTTGGCGGATAAAAACAGGGTTCCGTCGCGGTTCTGTTTGGAGCTCCATCGTTGGATTGTCGTTTTTTTAGGGTAGGATTTGGGATTTTCCTGCTGTTTCGTTATCCTTTTCACTGGAACGATGGTGAGGAAATGGGTGGATCTGAGGAAGAATGAAGGATGCGAATGAGGAAGGTAAAGTTACCCTCATTCTATTGTCCTGTACGACAGCGTGTTCCATCCTGTCAAGCCTTTCCCTTTTTTTTCTTTGTGTTTTAATTAGCCTTTCCTATTTCAAAGCTGCATAAATTAATAAATTCATGATATGGTGGGAAAATCTTTTTATTTGGTTCAAAGTTTGGGAAAATCCAAAACAAAAAAATGGCGGGATAGTTTGGGGGAATGAAAATTTATATTCATTGTTTCTTTATTTTTTTCAAATTCTAAACCTATGTCCTCAATTTAAGTATCTATAAAATTGTTTAAAGTTACCGCTCATATAAACGAGGGTTTAGGGTTCAGGGTTTAGGGTTCAGGGTTTAGGGTTTAGGGTTCAGGGTATAGGGTTTAGGGTTCAGGGTTCAGGGTTCAGGGTTTAGGGTTCAGGGTATAGGGTTTAGGGTTTAGGGTTCAGGGTACCCAAAACCCAAAATCGAGTTAAGCTCATAAAATGTTCAAACTGGGCACAAAATTACATTCAAACCTATATCTAAGTCTAACAAAATAAAACACAATATTTATTTCAATTTCAATGCATAAAATCCATGAATTCTAATTCTTTCTTATGCCAAAACGTTAAATGAGCTTGTTCGCGAGCTTTAGAGCCGAACATGGTATGGCTCGAGTTCGGCTCATTTAGTTAACGAGCTTGTTCGCGAGCCGACTCGATTAAGACGAATCGAGTTTCAAACGAGTTTTTATCGAGTCGGACGCCGAGCCGTTCATGAGCAGCTTGGTTCATTAATAGCCCTAAATGGGTTAAGAATGAATGAAGAGACATAAATTGGGAAAGAGTCGTCCAATTTTTTGGCAGCGTGGCTACCATAAGAGCAAGCGGCTCTCATTGAAAAGAGTAGTCCAATTTTTTGGCGGATAAAAAAGGCGGTCTTCTAAAAAGAGTAAAAAAGGAAGTTTTGCAGTTGAGGGCTTGAGATCAGAAACAACCAACATTACTACCACCGAATAGGCCCAACAGTGCAGCAGGCGCGTTCTCCCGTTGGCCGGCTAGTTGTAAGTTTGGGCTGTTGATAGAGGCCCATTAGTTGGGTTTGGCCGGCCAAAACGTTTGCATAAAAAAAAAACCAAAACCAAAAAGGATCACGAAAACGTTTCCGCTTCCTCTTCCTCTTCCCTTCGGCGCCTCTGTTCCGTTCCCGGCGAAGACATCAATCGGACTGGTTCATTGCATGGTCGGGTTTGGCTGTCCTCCTATCTGCCTGACCCACATTATTCTCATCCCCGAGAGTTGATTCTCAAGATTTTGCCAGCATCTCACATTTATATTTTCTTTCCACTCATCAACAAGTTGGCGATAATCGCGTCCTCCGCTCCTTTGGGTACGCCTCCTTCTGCTCTCAGATAATTCTTAGTCGATTGGGCAACGGCCTGGTGTTTGAAACGCTTTGCGATTCCTCGCCGCCATTAGAAGTTTGCACACTATTCTCTTCTTCGAGCTTCGTGTTTGCTTTATTGAAGTTCCGAGCTAACTTGTAGATGACGTGTTTATGGAACAGAGGAATTGATTTCGGCTTCCGTTAGCAAAGGAAAACAGCAGTTGAGAAGAAGCACTGGCGACCTCCCGATTCCAGTAACTTGCGGGATTAGTTTATCCTGCTGAACTTCACCAGGTTTCTCGCTTTCCCCTCTAGTTTACTACTGTGTCTGCATTCCTTGATGGTGGCGCCCTGCAGTAAGCTATGTTTTCTAAAGTGAATATGATATTGAATAGGTATCAGATATTGAAGATTATGAGCTGCTAAATGGCTTCAGCTTGCTCTTTTCATTGGCTATAATTTGTTTAGAAATGAGAAGAATACCAGCAACCCTGACTATGAGTTGAATGTGAAGGACTGAGGCCTTCTTTCTTTCATACGCTGTTCAGCTAGTATTTCCTTGCATGTCTTTGTTTCTGATGCCTAAGATGTGTCTTGTCTTCATTTGTACATGATTATTTGATTAGTGTCGGAACAATATCCTCTTTTGATATAGTCGATAAGAGTCTCTTTGGTTTTTTGCAATTGAAATACGAATTGGTTATTAATTCAACATTGCAAAAGTAATATGCACCGTGGTCCCAAACAACAACTAACATAGTTTGTTTTTATGATTCTAAAAATGGTAGATACTTCCAAAAATAGAGGTTGAGCAGAAGGAAATCAGTGTGACATATATTTGAGATGGACAACATACCTGAATGGAACCCGTAAGTAATGGTTTCCCAACCAACTCATAATAAACCATATTCTTGTGTTCTCATAACTACTTAATACAATTGCTAATAATCTAAATTATAGGTTTTTTACCCTTGGAGATGATTTTGTTACGAATCTAAATTATCAAAATGCCGTGGCAATGTCTGAGACCGTTGAAACTTTTGATCTAATCCCAAAGCAATTGGATGGTGATGATCAGGTGAGTAAGATAAGACGTTTGTTATCTATCCTTCTCTATCTCTTCTGTGATTGATTTGCATCTGATTTGTTTATTTTTTTTGCAAATCATCATCTTTTGCATTATATCAGGGCACTTCGTACATTTTCTCTGGCGTTGTAACAGAGCTGAGGAGATCTTGGTGTGATGCATCGAGAGTATACTTGATTCACTTGACCATTGAAGATGACATTTGTGATGTTGAGGTCGTGTTCCCATCATCATACTTACGGAGAATCATTTCTTCTGTAGTCAGTCCTTCTGAGATTGACAATGCCGACTATGTTACACTTCTCAACTTGATTGGTGACAAGTCATATGAAGTCATGGTCACAATCGGTCCTTGGAACAACGTGGGGAATTATTTTGATCTATTCTTGGTTAAGTTGTTCCTGCCTTTAGATAACTAAGTAGCAATTGGGTATTATTAATATGATCGGATTAATGTTATTAATGGTCCACCTCTCTGTAATCTCTCGTGTTCTGTAAGTGTAATGGATATGTGAACGCTAATATCTTTTGTACGTTTATTATCCTTTTGAGGGGTGCTTGATGTAAAATATGAATTTAAATTAGTTATGGTACTTTGAACAAATTAGTATTAGTAGATGTGACTTGATTGCTTTTGTCAACAGTGGAAGTAAATTCGTTTGTATTTGCATTGAGTTAACAACGTGAGAATTACACAACAAACCTACTATTAATGCATTCTAATCTATTTTCTTCGCATTGCAAAGGCCATCTACACAATCCCCTCTTTCGAACACAGCTGCCGCTCCCATCCCGGTTCCTGCACATTAGAGTTGTCATAGTTAGCCACATGGTACATCGCTGATCGAACAACACAATTCAATCTAGAAGAGTAAGGGACTAGTCCATATGGTATATCCCCGACCTATGCACATGGACACAACTCCAAAGCGAGAGTCTCTACCACGACGCTTCATCTCGTGCAGCAGAGTAGCCACACATCGAGCACGGCAGTAGACAAACTGGGATGCAAATGCCTGCAAACCTAGCAACTGTTAGCTTTCAAAAGAATACAAGGACATTCATGCAAGTCTCCGAATGAGACTATCAAAGATAGGAAGAGAAAATAGATGGATATCACTCCATGCCTCATTTATCTCAAAAAGGTCGATATCTTCAAGCTCTAGACCAGGAGCTTTAACAGCTGCTGGAATTGCAACAGCTGGACCAACACCCATTATGGCAGGATCGACACCAACAGCAGAAAAGCTCCTGAAAAATATCCAAAAATTGGTGTTACAGTAAAAGCAAAAGGAAGAAGCTTCAACATCAGTATCAAGTTCAAGAGGCCAGAAACTTGAGAGGAATGTGAATAAGTTGGGACAGAGTCTTTCAAAATAAGGTGTCTGAATTTGTTGTCTACAGGACATTCATTACTTTATCGTTATGCAGGAATTTATTTCTACATTTAGTAAATTGCAAGACATTCACCATGCATTCACGTATTGCTTTCAACTAAATAAAAAAAAGCAACAGACAGCTAAGTGGAAACTTTCTGCCCTGAACTTGATTTCAGGGTAATGGGGCAGGCAATGTAGCGATAAGAACATTAAGTACCAATATAACTTGTGAAGACTCCTTAAAGTGAACATGTAGCTAACCTGAACACTCCAAGGATGGGGAGACCCTTTTGCATTGCAACACTTCTCCTCATGAGCAATACAGCCCCAGCACCATCACTCACTTGGCTTGAGTTTCCTAAAGATCACAATACATCAGCTTATGAGATGAAAATTCAGAAATATTGTGCCGTGAAGTAAAGCAAATGCAATCAGTTTTACCAGCAGTAGTGGTTCCATCTTTCTTGAAGACGGGCTTCAATCTGGCCAAGTCCGCCACAGATGCGTTGGGACGAATCCCATCATCAACAGCAACTCTGATGGGTTTCTCATCACCCGTCTTTGGGTCAACAAGCTTAACGAGAGAAGAAACAGATCAACTGACTCAGATACAAGAAATTAACCAAAATATACAACTACTGAAGGTGGTTGAAACTGAAATATACATACCTTCGTAGAAACTGGGATGATTTCATCCCTGAATTTACCAGCAGCTGTAGCGGCAGCAGCTTTCCAATGGGAATCAACCTAATAATAGACATAATTAATGATCGATTTACATCATCATGATACTGTACAACCTGATGTTTCCTTTTTCACTTACTTCAGCTTCATCCTGCTCCTTCCTAGTCACACTGAATCGATGAGCAACATTTTCTGAAGTCACACCCATAGGCAGAAGGCAATTTTGAGCTTGTTCAAAAGTTTTTACCTGCCACATATTATGGTGGGGTGAGTACTTAATAATAAGGAAAGGCATCTTGCCAATACTAATTCATAACCAACAGTTAACTCATGTAAGAAGCATACTTTTGGGTTCACATCACCATCCCAAGCCATTGGGTTCACGGTCATGGACTCCAACCCAGCTCCAATGCCTAAGGTGGGGGCATAAAAAAAGGCAGCACAATCATGAATGGAGACAAGTTCCATTCATACAAAAAAGCACAGAACAAGAGGCAGCCTAAAAGAGCATATCTTCTTACCAATGTCATAAAATCCAGCTTTGATAGCTGCAGCAACATCAGCAACTGCCTGAAGACCCGATGAACACTGCCTGTTCACAGTCCTGACAGGCACGGTTTCTAAAAGCACATAAAGGAAGCTAGCCTATAAGCCATATAAAAGAAAGAACATCATTAAGAAAGAGCCAACAGGTGGATGAGGAGAACATACCAGGGAAACCAGCATAGAATGCAGCCATCCTGCACTCACTTGCTCTTTGTGATCCTGGTGCCAGCACCGTTCCCACAACAATATCCCCAACTTCACTTGGGTTCAGATTTGTTCTCTCTATCACTGCCTACAAACTCAATCATCCATGACAACGAAGCAACAAGAAATAAAATTTCCAGCTAAATTCGGCTTCTTATAACAATTCTCGATCATTCAACAGACATACCTTCAAAACTGGTGCAAGCAAATCATCGGCAAAGGTATCCTTGAAACTGCCACGTTTAGACTTGCACAAGGCAGTTCGATGAGCCCTGCAGAAATTACAGAAAAACAAAGCACGTAAAATACCCTTGCACAGTTTTCATTCTCACACTACTATCCTCAGCCCCATACCAGCAATCAATCGTCAAAAACAGATGGCAAAGAAACGGTGAACTTACATAGCTGTTGAACTTATCGACAGCCTTCTCAGCTTCTTCAACAGTACTCATGGTCACAAATCCGAAACCACGGCTGCTATCAGTCTCCCTGTTGTAAATGACCTGCCAACAAACAAAAGACAAAAGAAGATTTCACAAAGATGCAAATTAGAAGTTAAATCCCACTAAAAAAGGTGAAGTAATCCATCGAAACAAACCTCAGCAATCTCTACAGTTCCAGCTTGCTCGAAGAGCATAGCCAATTTCTCACTATCCACATCGTACGGCAAGTTACCGACGAACACTTTGGCGTCCTCCGACGGCTCCTGCGCCTCAATTGCATCATCCCCATCTTCGGCGGCGGCGTAGGAAGCCACCGGGCCCTCCTCGGCTGCCGAATCCTCACCTTCTTCTTCCTGTTCCGAGTCAGCAATGGTGGATGTAGTGTTCTGCTCGTCCTGCTGCGCCCAATCGAAAGTCTGGGCTACGAAGGGGATAAAAGATAGGGAGTGGGAGAGAAGGACTTTGAAGGGTCGAGATGGGATTGATAGAGCGAGGAGAGGATGATCTGGGCGGAATCAATATGAAGGTGGAGGGACAGTCGGGACGAAGAAGGAAGAAGAAGAAGAAGAGGGAATTAGGGATGGTCTGCTTTGATGATGACGATAACCTTTGAGTGGATGATGACAATGAAGTTTTGATTCATTAACAATTCCAACCAAATTTTAATGGAGAATCTTTTTCATCAATTGTATAAAATTTGCTGTTGAATAATAGAACTCTATAAAATAAGGTATCAGACGAGAAAACATGATGGTAATTATTGTTCGGGGACTTCATAGAACATATAATTATTTAAGGGGTGTAATTTGTAATCATAATCTTTATTAAATATATAATTTTAATATAATTAATACTAGCCGTTAGATTAGATCAACGATCTCAGGACCTGGAGCATGCTATGCGCCTGGAGCACACGAGTCGTATCCATATATATATATATATATATATATATATATATGGGTCAGACTGGTGTACGTCAGGCTTATACTATACGTTAGGTACTACTAGTGAGATATCTCTATCTAGATCATGAATTAAATTGAGTTTGGGGTATGATACTATACCCTAACCCATACCCTAACCTCTAATGGATAAACCCCAGGCACCGATTTTTAAAACCCCAACCCGAAGTATGATTTAATGAAAAATCGGTGGGCGCATAATGAATAGGAAAATAAGTCAATGGATTTAGTCGTAATTATAAGTAATAATTAATTAAAAGATAATTATTAATTAATTAATATGTGTGAACACAGACGTACAGTGTACGACAGGTGTACACTAGCCTGAACCCTTCAGGACATGATACTATACTCTAACCCTTAAATATCAAAACCTAGGTCTTAATTCTCTAAATCTTATACCCCAAGATAAATTTAATTAGAAATAATAATCGACGGTTATGATTCGTCCAGATATAGGCAAAAAAATCAATGCACCATCTTAGGGTTTGTAGTGTATGATTTAGATAATTAGGATCTAAGATTCACTCATTAAGGGTTAGGGTATAGTATCATGCCCAAAAATCCTGCTAATTCGAGGTCTAAATAGCGTTTTCATACTCAAGGTATGCGGTACCCCGGATGCGTATATATATATATATATATATATATATATATATGTATGTATGTAATTGTTTATGGACTAATAAATAAATTAACCATTAGTTACAACAATTTATACTAAACTTGATAAGTAATCTTTGGCGGTTCGTTGTTTAGGATATAAAGTATATGGTTAGGGTATAAGGTACATATGGTTTAGGGTGTATATGGTTAGGGTATAAGATATTGATGGTTTTGACGGTTCTAAGTTTTTTTAGTAACATATGTTCACTTGAAGTCTTTAACGGCAGGAGATCCCTTTTTAATTTATGTTTATGGTACGTGGTTAGGGTACAAGGTATGTGGTGAAGTATAGAATATATGGTTAGGGTATAACAATTAGCAAATATCACTTTTTATCTATGTTTTGAAAATAAAAGTATGAATTTCACTTTTAAATTAACTATACTAGCAAAATGACAACTCAAGGACATATGGTTAGGGTATAGGGTATAGGTTATGTGGTTAGTGTATAATGTATTGATGGTTTAGGGTATACAATCAACAACATATACTAACTTAATATTGTTGATTGAGGGTAAGACCAAGTGTACATGATATATGCTATTGAGTAAGTTATGATTGAAGTCACAATAATTTTACTAAATTTGATAGCTAATCTTTAATGGTTCAATTTTTAGGATACTTCGAACAATTTTACAAATAACTCGTTTGGCAACAGTTTACTGAAGTTATTTGTGCAATGAGTTATTTCGAAATAACTCCTTTTATGCTTTTGCCAAATACCACACGCCAAATACCAGATTTGCATGGTTATACTAATCGAGATACTTTAATCCAATTACTACTGAATTAATACTAAAATATCATATAAACAACTAATGGTGTCTTTTGGTTGCAAATATTAATATCACCATTACTATTAGCTATAATACTTTACCAATTATGATTAATTACATAACAAGTTTGCAAGTCATACAAATTGATTTTAACATTTTTACTAGTTTTTTTCAAAAAAATAAAGTATATATATACGAGGTAGAAATAAATTGGTTAAAAAGTTGAGAAAATATTTTAAATTAGTGTAATAAAATGTGTAAGTTGGTAATGAGTAATGAGTTAAGTTACTTGATACGCTGGCCCGAACAACCCGAAACCCGATCCGCCCGCAACCCGCCCGACCCAAAACCCGATGAACCCGCAACCCGATTTGCCGGCAACCTGATTGAACCCGAACCCGATGAACCCGCAACCCGATGAACCCGCAACCCGTTTGAACCCGAACCCGATGAACCCGAACCCGCAACCCGACTAACCCGCAACCCGTTTGAACCCGAACCCGATTGAACCCAGCCCGAACCCCCCGAACCCGCCGATTGACACCTATAATCATCATCACTTTCTTCACGGTCGCTGCTAGTATTGGCCCCACTTCCACTCGCACTATCACTAGCACTGCTTCCACTCTCCCTGTTGTTTCCTAACTAGACGACCGGTTATCATTATCACTATAGGTGTCAAAACATGACCCGACCCGAGTAACCCGTCCAACCAACCCGATCCGCGAACCGCCCGCAACCCGATTTGACTAAAAGTCAAAAGACCCGCAACCCGCCCGACCCGCAACCCGCTTGACCCGCAACCCGCTTAACCCGCAACCCGCTTGACCCGCAACCCGCTTGACCCGAACCCGATTGACCCGCAACCCGCTTGACCCGCAACCCGCTTGACCCGCAACCCGCTTGACCCGTAACCCGACTAACCCGAACCCGATTAACCCAACCCGAACCCGCCCGATTGGCACGAATAATACTACATAATATATTTTTGTGCATAAATATTAGGGCTAATACCACTACAACACCCGAACTATAGACAAAATGTCATTTGTGTCCTATTCTTTCTAATATTCCATTTATATCCTAAACTATTATTCTGTTAGTGTTGACCGGTGTTGACCGTTAATTTTTAACAGAAAATCCAGTCAGTGTCCACGTGGCATCTGACATGGATTTTTAATTTCATTTTTATTTAAAGTAAAATAAAATTAAAAAATGGAAAATTGCTTATGCTTTCTCGTCTCCTTCTCCGATCAATCGTTGCCCTGCAGATTCAAAGGCCGCCCTTTTCACTTTCCTCAAGCCAGGAAATCTCGCCTTCCCACAATGGGCAGATCCTCAATTGCTTTAATCCCCTGCTCCCTTGCCTCAGAAAGAACCCCCAATCGTAAGAACCCCCAATCATTCCGACATAACCCCTTGCAATTCACCACCGCGGACCAACGTCGCTTTCTCGAGCGATCCCACGGGCCTGGGAGATTTGAGTTCCGATGCTTATCTCCGGCGCTTCAAATCTAGCAAACTTCCCCGAGAACTCGCTCCTTATCAAGCCCAAGCAAATCGTCTTCAGGAAGTACCAATCACTGCCTATTGGAGACTGCGACCGCCGGCGGAATAAATTAATGGCGCCCTTCCCAACAGATCTTGAAACAACACCTTCCTCTACTTCACAATATAATACCCTCCGGCGTCGACAACTGGGTTCGATCCCTTCCAGCTAGCCAATAGCGAGCGATGAATGCGGCTGTCGCCGCCGCCCCTGTTTTTTTCTAGGATTGACGACAACGGAAGAGAGGGGATGCAGTCTCATGGCGGATACAATACCCTCTCAACGGCTTCGAGATCCGCCATGTACCTCCTCTCCGAGCCGCTAAATGCCCACCCTCTCCGAGCCGCTAAATGCCCACCCTCTCCGGTTCCCTGGCCGCGAGCAGGAGGAGAGAGATGAACTTTTTTATTTTTATTTTGTTTTGAATTTTTCGTTTTTTTAATGATATTATTTAGCAAAATTCTTAAATTTATTTTTTTTTATTTTTTATTTTAATTAAAAATGATGTGGCAATGACGTGGCGCCTATGAGGATGTCACATTTTTTTGCCACGTCAGGAAAAGTCAATAACAGTTTGACTTCCGTCTGGTCAACTGTTATCTCTAACGGTCAACGAAATCGCAAGGATACAAATGACACAAAAGTATGATACGATAGGATAGAAATGGAATATTGGAAAGAATAGGACACAAATGACATTTTGTTCATAGTTCAGGTGTTGTAGTGGTATTAGCCCTAAATATTATATGTAGATAATATATATATAAAGTTTATGTGACTTGCCCTATTATTTTTTCATCTTTCCCACCAAGAACAAAGGTTTACTTTGTGTTGACAAATAAAAACTATCATTTAATTGAATCACATAATAGTATCATAGTCTCTCTGCCTTTCAGTTGAACCAAGTAACAATAAGTTCGAATTGTAATAAAAAAATTGCGTGGACTATTTGGCTTCAGTGATGGTCTTTCCAACTCAAGGTACATGGTTCAAAGCCTAGCAAAGGTATATTTTTTTAACATGTTTTTGTTAACTGAATTTTAAAATAAAAAGTTAGATTGTAATTAAATACTTAATGAATAGCATAGTTAGTAAAATACGGTACGGGAAAGTTACGTATAAAATACTTATGGGTATTATACTTTTCTCTTAGTTAATGTTATGTTTAATAGTACGTTAATAGTTAAAAATATATAAAACTAATTACTTTTATAAATAAATCAATATGTAAAAATAGTAAAAATTAATAATTCAGTCATTAAATACGAATATTAAACGTGTTATTAAACGGAGTATTTAGTTATTTACTAACTATGATGTATAAGTATACGGTAGTGGACTTGTGGTTGTTGTAAAAAAAAGGACTCGTGGTTTAGAGTTTGGAAGATTATGACGTATGTTCTTCTAAATAACTGAATACAAAATTGACTTAACTAACATTCTTTACATATCATACGTTATAGTTTATACTTTATACCAACAATTTCATAACACATAACTATAGTTCATGGTTTAAGGTTAGTGTATAGGGTATACGGTAGTGGACTCGTGGTTTAGAGTTTGGAGTCATATGACGTATGTTCTTCTCAATAACCGAATATAAAATTGACTCAACTTACATTCTTCACATAACATACGTTATAGCTTATACTAACAATTTCATAACATATAACTATAGTATAGGGTATAGGGTATAGGGTTAGGGTATAGGGTTAGGGTTTAGGGTTAGGGTTTAGGGTTTATTCATGTTATGCTTTATGTTGGATATTTTGATTTTTATAGTTTATTAATTAATTTGATTTTAACAATTAGTTTAACTTGTGAATGTACATCTTAAATATATCATATTCAAATGACATTCCGACCAACGAATCGAACAACAAACTAGTTAATCGGTATAAAATTTATCATCTATAATAATAAATATCAAAGAAAGGAAGAACTAGATGTTTATGGAAATTTTTTGAATGCAAAATTCAAAACCCCCCAAATCTTTGCTCAAAAATTCCCTTGCAAACCCATTTTTTTTTTAAAATTCCCTCTCATAAACCCCCTTCCCCCAATATTTGATCAAAAATTGAAAATTCCCTCCCACCTCCCCCAATATTTGATCCAAAATTGAAATTCCCCCATCCCAACCTAGTTTTCCGTGAAAAAAAAATTATTATTAACAATATATATATTTTTAATCAATTGAGAAGGGGGGGAAAATTGGTCTTCTACGGAAAAAATATATGTCTTCTACTAATGGATCAATAAAAGAATCATCTTCTAGTCACCGGGTTTTGTGTGCGGATAAATTTCGTTGACTGCATATAATGGGATAGCGAGGGGAATTCAGTCCCATCTCAGTTTAAAATAAATCCCCCTCGTTAATAATAAAAAAGACGCAATAGACATTCGGGGTTGGCGGGCTTCCAAAATTTTTTCGCTCCAACTTTTTCTTAAACTTTTTCAGTTTCTTTTTTGTTTGCATTTTTTGAGTTTTTTTTATTACTTTACCAATAACTAGGACCATTCCCTTTCCCATCTACCTTATCTCCACTCTCCAGTTCTCCACAACCACAACAATGGATCTCGCAGTAGAGCAAAACCCCCTTTAGGAGTCACCGTCCATGCCCACACCTTTTCGATGATCGCCGTCCGTTTACCCAGTCTTTTTCGATGACTGCTTTCCGCCCCTTCTTCAATTCATAACCCTTCAACCATTCGATCTGTGACTACCTCCTTTGGACGAGAAAGCCAACAATCGCAGCCATTGTTCCCACAGCAGCGCTTCTGTCGAACCAGTTCCGCTTTTACATCAACAACAGCATATCTCAAGTAAGCCTATCGAAGCTCTAATTTCCTTGTTCGAGAAAGTAAATTTACTATTTTTTCCCCTTACAGAGGTTCGCTCTTCCGCTCGCAAAGATCTAGTTTCAGCGTATTCCAACCAACTTTTCCCTTCTAGACCTGCAACTTTCTAGCTTACTTTTGACACTCTTTACTCCACTTTTCTGTTGAGCTAGTGGGATTTGTATCTTCCTTTGAGATTGTCTCTGGGCAGGGGAAATATTTAGGGGGTTCAAAGTTAGCTTGATTTTAGGTTATAGGAACAGTCAAAGATATTATGATTCAGATGTCCAATTTACATCTCCTGTGGATGCAACTCCATATTGCCTCCTACTAATAAGATACTTAAGTTTAACACGCTTTATGAGGTTATCAACAGATATTTGAGGTCCATGGTTACCCAATCTAAGTCCGGCTGTCGCCCCATTTAAGAATGAGATGTTCATTCTATACACTCAGTCTGAGTGGATCCTATAACTAGTGAACAATAGAAGTCAAGGCAACCAGACTAAACTAAAATAACTCACCACTACTTTTGCTCTGGTTATGGACTTTTTCGTTTCTTTTTTCCAGAAGCAATGGACGCCAGGGCTAGAAGAAGCAAAATTTGGGAGAATTTCACTCAAGTTGAATCAGAGGGGGAGGTCAAGCTTCAATGCAACCATTGCATGAAGGTTATTGGATGCTATCCTAATAAGAATGGGACAGTTTCACTATGGAGGCATATTAAGATGTGCAGTAAGAGAAATCTTCAAGATTAATGGAGCCTTATGTACTTTTCTGTATTTCATTCTATTATATTTGGTTAAACATCATGTAATGGTCTTAACTATCAAGACTCAAGAGATTGTTTCATAGGTTTATGATCAAGTAAGGTATCAGCTTTTTAATTTCTTATATTAGTTTTGTAACTTTAATGAATCTCTGCAAAATCAAACTTGTTTATGATATATTCAAGCAAAATCTAGTCACTCATTTGTTTAATAATGTATCTTCATGTTTTTTTCATTGCAATATGGTGATCGGTGAGTTTGTTTTAAATTAGTGTAGTAGCTAATTATAAAAAAAACTCGATGGTTTGGACCGAACAACCCGCAACCCGACCTGTTGTAACCCGCAATCCGATCAACCCGAACCCGATTGAACCGCAACCCGATCAACCCGTAACCCGATTGATCCGCAACCCGATCAACCCGAACCCGATCAACCCGCAACCCGATCAACCCGCAACCCGATCAACCCGCAACCCGATCAACCCGAACCCGCTTGACCCGCAACCCGCTTGACCCGCAACCCGCTTAACCCGCAACCCGACTGAACCCGACCCGAACCCGCCCGAACCCGCCCGATTGACACCTATAATTATCACCATCAGCGAGATTTTCGGTCCTATGGCAAGTAACCCAACAATGGAAGCAGCGACGGTGGGGTATATTGCCGGGCGGGATATTGGTATTGGGGATTAGAAGAAATTAGGGTCTAATATTTATTTTAAATAAAAGTGATAATGAGATGGAAATGAGATGACAATTTTGAAATTTTTATTTTTATTTTTAAACTGCCACTTCACACATTTAACGGTCAACTTTTAGAGTTGACCGCCACGTAAGCAAAAATTAACGGAGTTGGACGGAGAGTGACCAAACGTGAACAGTTTCAGTAAACAGAAGTACCACCAATGGATTTAATATTTCGAGTGACCAAACTTGTACGTTTTTTGTAATCTCAGTGACCAACCATGCAATTAACCCATTTGATATTTGTTAAGTGTACTAAAGTGCATTTAAAAAAATTAATATTATAAATTAGGGTTAATAGAATTTCATTCCCCTCTACTATTGTAAATTAACTAAGTCGCCCCTCTATTATTTTTTTGCACGTTCATACCCTCCAACTATCAAAACGTTAAAAATATGTTCGTTAGTCACTATTTCCGTTAAATGTATGTTAGAGGAGTTCTAAAATGGCTATTTTGCCCCTCCTTTTATCATTGAAGACATTAATTCCTGGAAAAAACATACACTAATTTTTGGATTGATACCACTAGGAAACCCGAACTATGAAGAATATGTCATTTGTGTCCTAAAGTATCCAATGTTACATTTGTGTCCTGGCGTATAATAGTTGTGTGTCATTTACGTCTTGACAATTTTGTTGACCGTTATAGATAACAGTTGATCAAACGGTCAACCATAAATTGTTGACTGTTGGTTACATGGCACATATGTGCCAGCCACGTACACACCACGTCAACTGCCACATCATCTCATTAAAACATAATATTTTTAAATTAATTTTTTAATATATACTGACAAAATTAAAAACTCTATTTTTTTAACCCCTACCGCCGGCCGCCACAACCACCCTCTCTCATAACTTCGGTTCTCTTTGTCTCCTCATCTCCCTCTCCTCGGATGACTTGTCGCTGCTCTCCCTCTCCAAAACCTCACTTGATATTTAACTGAACCAGAGAGGAAACAAAATCCCTAGATCGAGGACACAAAACGTCTCCTGACAGGCTTGCTTGCTCCTTCTTCACTTCCGCAGACCAATCCGCAGCTTGCTCCTTCTTTACTCGCGCTCGATTCTAAAGCTCGCCGAGGCGATCCCGACGGAGAAGTTGATGGAGGAGGATGATGACACCGGTGAGCTGAGTCAGCCGCCACGGGAAGAGCATCGATGGGGGGGGGGGAGGATGATGACGATGATGAGGAGTAATCGGCGGACGACTGTAGAGGGGATAGGAGGAGAAGGAAGAGGAAAACGAGAGACGATGATATCAGATCTTCTCGAATGATCGCTGCCCAGCTCCCCACCAAGAACCCATAAGCCCCCGACATGCAAGGTCGCATCTGCCGTCTCCGTATCCAAACCTCGAAGCCCAGCACCGCCATCATCAGAGTTCGCGGCCTAGAACAGAGTGGTTGCCATCTCGGCCAGTGAAGGGTAAATCCCCAAATCGATTTACAATCGACGGTAGAGGTTGGGAGACGGGAGAGGGAAGGATAAAACCCCAAATCAATTAGTTTATGTTTGGGCAAATACCACTAGGAAATCCGAACTATGAGAATGTGTCATTTGTGTCCTAAAGTATCCAATATGACATTTGTGTCCCAAACTATTTTTCCGTTAGAGTTGACCGGAGTTGACCGTTAATTTTTAACAGAAAGTCAAGTCAGCGCTGAGATGGTATCTGAAGTGGAATTTATAAGGTTTAATACACTTGTTTATCCAAAACTTTCATGGTTGTGCCAATAATATTCGAATTTCCTAAAATACCACTTATATCCATGTTTTAAAGTTGTTCTTTGCCAAAGCTATCTATTTTGGTTAAATACTTTGACGACGTTAATAACTCCGTCAACATACACTACAAGAAAATTGGTCTATAGAGACTAAATCACCGAGACAAATATAATATATGTTTCTAAAAGTACACTGATACAACAAATATACAATCTGTCTCTATATATGGGATTATTTGTCTCCAAATGGAGCTCATTAACAACACATATAAAATTTGTTTCTATAGGGATTACTATGTGGAACTAAAAACAATACATTCTTAGATATTAAAATATAGTTTCCATAACTTATTAGCTATAGAGACAGATTAATAATAATAATAATAATAATAATAATAATAAATATAAAAAATACTTTTTTATAAGTGAAATGTATGTTTGATTTGTTTTAAATAATGCTACTTATATAGAAAAATATTAGTTAAGGAAAATACTACTTAAGACTTTTTATTTCTATTTAATCTAAATAAAAATTTTGTGCTTAATAGATTTCATTTATATTGATTGCACCCTCCTTAACCCTACGCTCCATTTTAACTTCTAATCCATCTTTTGCTTCTAGCCTCCATTCCACCGCCGCACCAATCCGTACGTCTATGCCGCTTCGCATTCTGGAGCTTGATGCCTATGGTGAGTTTTTGTTCTTACTAAGATATCTCTCTCATTTGGTTATTGCATTCCAGTACTCATCACTTGTCATCCCTCTCTTCACTCTTCGCTGGCTTGGAACGACACACAGGAGGAACGGTGATGACTTGGGGGATTTCAACTTCCCAGCCGTCGATCTATCAAGGTATTGGGCCCTTGAGATGGCAACGTCTATCAGAAGGGTATGAGAAGCCAGATCGAAAAGGAGCTTTGGCTCAGATCCAACAAAATCTGGGGATGCTCTGTCGTCGGACCAGGACACGTAGGCACCCAGATAAACGTTGTTGATCCTTCTCCAAGGTCGTTATTGGTCCTTCTCGAGTCTCAACCTCTACGATGGGCCCTCTCCCTCCATGCTTTCAATCAGATCGACATGGAATCTTCTCTAAGGTCATTGTTTTCTATTTTTCATCGTTTTTTTTTGTTGATTTGAATTCGTTCCCAATGACGTTTAGTGTATGTTTGTTGTACTGCAGATTACCTGTGTATAGAATCAAACAAGAAAGAACAAGAGAAAGGATTGTTCAGGCGGAGTCTGATATAGGCAAGAGCTGTAGGTTGTTGCTTGTGTTCCTTTGAGGGGTTTTATTTATTATGGAAGGGAAAGCTAATATCTGAATCTATTCGAGTGGCTATATTTGTAATTCTCCAGTAATATAAACCCATTTGTACCTCTGGTATATATAATTGATTTGTTATTTTTATGTAGTGGTTTGTGCATTCGATTATCTCAATAAAATTCAATTTCAACAATTTTTCATATAAAAAATGGCAAAAAATTGCCTCACAAACAAAATTATTTGCCTCTACAGATAATATTTGAGGCAAAACTATGTGTCTCTAAAAAGAATGATTTGTCTCTCTAAGTGATATTAGAGGAAAAATATTTTGTTCTCTAAATTCAGATATTTTTGTTGTTAAAATTAGATACAGACACAAAATAATAGTCACTAGAAATAAATATTAGATACTAAAATATTAGTGACAATATCTCAATTCAGCAACAAATGAGATCTGTTTCTATATTTGTTTCTATAGGACTATAGCAACAGCACTACTTGAGACAAATTTGTTATGTGTATCTATAGGGTTAGAGAGACAAATAAATGCTTTATAGAGACACATTTCCATTGTCTCTATATCCCTATTTTCTTGTAGTGATAGTTGACGGCAAGCTGACTGGCGCCAACTAAGCAGACACGTAAACGCCAACTATGCCAAAGGTGACATGTAATAAATAATTTAAAATAATTCCCCCCCCCCCCCCCATATACCCACTCACGAAGAGCATGACCAGAAAAAACTTTCGGCTTTTGTTTTTAGGGTTCACACCTTGGCAGCGAGTGAACCTCCTCCTGCCGACTGAACCTCCTCCCACCGACTGAATCTCCTCCCGGTGATTGAAGCTCCTACGGCCGACTGAATATACTGCCTGGATAGTCTGCTACCATTCCCTCTTGGGATTCACCAGGCCTTTATCCACATCTCTTCTCAGACATGTCTTCTTTTATGACTACTCGTCTTCTCGCCATCGTTTAGTCAATGTCCAATCTCTAGCAACATAGATTTTAGGCTATTAATTTTGATATGAAGCAAGGGGTTTGAAGGAGAATGCCACCATTTCCCCAAGCCTTCCCCTGCCTCTTCTTCCCCCTCCGTCGTACCCTATCACCATTGTTATCGATGACAACACCCTAACTCGGCAGATCTACGATTCGCGGTGAGGAAGCTTTGAAATCAAAGTTTTCCCTCATCATTCCCCTTCCTCTCCATCCACCTCCGCCGCACCCAATCACTATTATTATCAGCGGCG